GCAGACTTTTACATTTTAATTAACAGTTTTAATCCTCACCCTGCCTAACCTGTGCCTCCAATCAACGGGAAGAGGTAGGTGTTCCAGAACATGATGAGATTAGTTGAGGAAAACAACTATATTTTTATAATTAAATTTGGAGGTGGAGTATAATAGTATACACACCTCAATAGATGCATAGGGAATAGTAGATGAATTCTTTAATGAAAAGGGACAAGACAAAAACAATCAAGTAAAGATTTTCCAAACTATAGTTGACACCTTCATGTTTTTGTTGCTTACAACTCTTCCTTTGTATCATCTCCTCACTGAAAAGCTTTCTTTTCTAATGTACAACTAGCTAGCTGTTTTATCTTTCACATTCAGTGAAGATATTAGCTTATGTAAATCTCATTAAAGAGTTTATAAAACTTTGTCTCAAGGAAACAGATATCAAAACAACATTCAATTAGTTTGTATTCAAGTTGATTATAGAAGATGTAAATGAAACAACTAGAAAACCATTCAAGGCAGATCTTGGTGCTTTGGCTCATAAACGTGTTCATTAGATAAAGCAGGGGTTTAGAAAGGGAAGAACTGCTTCATATGAGGAAAACAAAAACTGATGCATCAATTTGAATTGAAAAGTAGGTAAAGAGTTTCAGAATTTACTCCAATATTCATTAAACATAAAAGTGAGCTAATCACCACCTCTACCATCACAACTATTGGTCATATGTGTATAAGGTTAGATCAAAGTAATAGCTAAGAATATTACATTCTGCGGTTGTTCATGGATGACAGTTGAGTAAGTTTGATGACAGAAGATAAAAATAACACTTGTTTGGACATAAATGGCAGATTTTTAAAAAATTAAATTATGTGAACGTTTCTCATCTCACCTACACCCCCAGAAACTGAAGAAACTAATTTTACAACATTAATATGTTTACTATCTCATCAAATTATAATTATTCTTGTTTTCTGAAATTTAATTTCCAGTTTTACCACATAGTAAATAATGTGCATAACCTCTGATCAAGTAGCATTTCCACAGTTGTAAAAACAAAGACTTTGACAAGAGTTAATAGCAATTTAGAGGTAAATGCAAAAGCAGAAATGCTTACAATTTGAATGTGCTTTGTTGACGAAGAGACTATGCCCTATTTATGTTTTTATTTAAAAGAAATGTGGATTCTACTGTCATGTATAACTAAAAAGAACCAATTAAAAAAAGAAATGTGGAATCTTCAGCTGCCAGCTTGACAGTTACAAAGAGCAGAAGGCACCTTAATGTCTCCTCTGGAGGGTATTATCACTGCACTCCAGTATCAGCAAAGGGTAGAAACACATGTGCTCTATCATACTTTGACCTTTATACTTCAATAGTATCCTGACAAGGTCAATTTTCCTATGTAGTATGCACGTTGTATAGTTGTTAAAAAACATTTTCACAGAATTTGTTCTGTGGATTTCATTTATGTTTAAATGAATGTTTGTTTCTATGCTGGAGACACTGCAAGAAAACAAGGCCTGGAGAGGCATTTCCTCAAAGGCTAAAAAGAGGTATTACCACCACCACCACCACCACTGCTACTTCTTGCCAGGGGATTTATAAAGTTTCTTGAAACTTAAGGTTAGGATGGGAGATGAGCCAAGCTTAGGAGAAGTTAACAGAGAGGAAAAGGCTAGTAGTTCCCATCCCCTGCCTTTTAGCCAATCTGTACAACAAAGCATTTCAGATGAATAACCCCTAGCGGTCAGGTAATGATGTCTTTTCTGCAATGATTACATTTGGTTTGTCTATTTTCTTTATGCTAGTGAGTTTTGAAATCAGAATTAAAAATCCTTGGGAGAAAAGCTATTTTTGTAATTCAGCTGTAATGTCCTTGTCTTTGGGTTTCCCATTGCATCAGTCCCTTAGTCTGGTACCATAGCTATGATAGTGTTTTGTCTTTTAGATTAAATGCAGAACTAAGGACATGACTTCTGGTGCTTATTAAAGATTCCTTGCTATTTTCACTAGAGTAGGGGCGTTAGACTCTTGTCTACTGGCCAAATTCTAAATTGGGAGATTACATTCTGCTTTCTTAAATTCCCCTTGCAGAAGCAGCCATCCATGGTATCCTACTTTGCTTCCTGTGCTAAACTGCAGTGTGATGTCATTAAATGGCTCTGGTTTTCTGCTCTACAAGTGATCACTTTTTAGTGGGGTGGGGAGAAAATCGGTTCCTATTGTCTAATATTGTATTTGATCCAGTTTCTTTTTTTCTATATTTATTGAGGTGCAATTTCCAAGTAAAGTTGTATATGTTTCATGTGTATGACTTGATGTTTTAATATATGTATATATACATTGTGAAATGATCACCATAACCAACCTAATTAAGGTACTCATCACTTCAGAATTAACATTTTCTTTTTCTTTCTTTTAAAAATTTATTTTTATTTTTAATTGCTATGTAATATTTGAACTTATTTAAGGAGTACAGTATTGTATTTTGACACACATATACAGTATGTAATGTTGATCCAGTTTCAAACAAATTTAAGAAGTACATTGTGATAACTAAAGATAAATTACAGAACACCCTAACAACATATCAGTTATTGTGAAAATTTTAATTTTTGAAACCAATTTGCTTTCTTTTCTGAAAAATCAACAAGAAAATAATGCATTGTTTACTCCAGTAGTAGTTGACAATGAATTGTTATTTGCCTCAAACATAAAGCTAATTCTAAAAGTGATGACAAGGTTTGAGGAGATGAAATCACATTTCACAAACCAGTTAAACCATCTTTATTTGTCTTTATGCTACATCTAATCATTCCAGACAGTTGATCTGTTTCATAAAATCTTTTTGGAAGGAGATTATTCATCTTGGCTTAGTAACATATTTTAGTGTCTCTCACTCTTTTCATAAAAACTAGGTTATTATTTTTGTTTAACCTCAGTTCCACCTACTATAGTTTAATGTCACTATCCTTTGCCCATCACTAAACTTGTTATTACATATTGCTATTGAGAGGCAGTGTAACATAAGGCATAATTTTTAGAATCAGACATGCCTGCATTCAGATCTCTAGTCTGTCAATTTCTAGATGTGTAACACTGGATAACTTACTTCTGAGGTTTAAATGAGCAAATTCAGAGTCTTGCTGTGAAGAGCAAATGAGATATTATTTTGAAGGACTGTGGGATAAGACAAAGCATGGTACTGGGCAACTAGAAAGCATTCAATAAATAGTTGCTATTTTTCTGATTATGTGCTTGAATCTGACAATTTATAAACTCCTTGAGAGTGGGAAGCATACTTCCTGTGTATGCCCTGGATTTCAACAGAAATGCAGTGTTGTGAACATAGTATGGTGCAGAGGCTCAATATTTACTCAATGAATACACTTTTTTTTTCAGAGCAGAAAGAACAGTCCCCAGCTAGTTGCAAGATCCCACACACTTAGATCAAAGATGTCAGAATTAATCAATCTTTTGCTCTGTAGAAATATGCAGATACCTGACTTTGTGGAGATATTTTGGCATGGTATATATAGACACAATGTAAATATACTTTCTGTCAAGTTTATTTCTATGAATTTTAACATTCAAGTTTTTTTGTAGTTGTAGATGAACAGCATACCTTTATTTTGTTTATTTTTATGTGGTGCTCAGGATCAAACCCAGTGCCTAACACATGCTAGGCAAGCTCTCTGCCGCTGAGCTACAGCCCCAGCCCTGAAATTTAACATTTTATTATTGTAATTTTAAACATTTTTTAGTTGTAGATGGACATAATACCTTTATTTTGTTTATTTTTTTATGTGGTGCTGAGGATCCAACATATGCTAAAGTGCTCTACCACTGAGCTACAACCCCAGCACTTATTGTCATTTCAAAGCTGCATCGAGGTGCCCAGAATGGGATTGACTCATATGCCTTCTCATTCATCCAAGCATTTTAAAATTGAGAATAAAAAAATTAATATTAAGATTTATCTAATTACATACTTGAACAAAATCTTCGAACTGGTGACTAAATATACTGCCTTCTCTATTTACCTCTAAGATATGTACACTACAGATGTATTTCGAATTGCTTTGTTCCAAAGCCATCCCCGCCCCCCCCCAAAAAAAAAAAAAAACAACAACAAACAGAAAGCCCAGTGATACAAATCTCAAAGCTCAATTAGCATCTTTGAACCAGCGAGGTGTTGTTTAGGACTTTTACTTTTGAACGCTTTCACAGGGCTAGGAGCAAAAATTGGGGGAACGAGGACAACACATATAGATTCACTGGACTTTAATATTTGCCAATTAGGAAAGAGTATTGCTTTTTTTTTTTTTAACCACAAGCTCGGAAAACCCCTGGTGTACGCTTAGGTTGGTATTAAAGACACCACATTGTGGCTTTTCCCGGGTCTGCTTTGTATATACTCTACAGGGGCGGTCTCAGGTGTGGAGCTCTGAGGAGCACCTGCTTGCTCACACCCCAACAGGTCAGAAACCAGCGTATTTGAGGCCAGGTGGCTCAGGTTCTACGAAACTGGGCTCAAATGTCACTAGCACTACGGGCAGTAGGGTCAGCGAGCTGTGCTTTGGGATTTGGATGCTCACTTCGGACTTTTTCCTTTCTTCTCCCTCCCCCTCCACCACTAGTTTTCCTTTCCCTCTTTCCTCCCTGGAGTGCCCACCTCCTCCCTTTGCTCCCACTCTCCACTGTCTCGCTCTCGTCTCCTTCACCTTCCTTTCTATCTGGTTTCCTGTCTTCCATCCTCCATCCTCTGTGGGCCCAAGGGCTTGGTCTCTGAGGAGGCGCAAGTCGGGCGGGACAGGCGTGAGGCACCGAGCCACGAAAGTGCGTGGCGCGCGCCGAGATGGGGGCGCGCGCGAGCAGCCGCGTGGCTCGGCAGCCAGGCCTGGGAGCGGCGCGCGCGCACCTCGCGAGCCCCCAGCGCGCCCCCGGCGGCCGGGGCCGCAGCGTGCTCGCCCCCGCCGCCAGCTCGCCTCACTTATGGGTCGGAAGCGCTGCGTGGGGGAGACTGTTCCAAGATGGCGGCGGGTTGCTGTGGGGTGAAGAAGCAGAAACTGTCCAGTTCGCCCCCCTCTGGCTCGGGTGGCGGTGGTGGCGCCTCCTCCTCCTCCCACTGCAGCGGAGAGAGCCAGTGTCGAGCTGGGGAGCTGGGACTAGGAGGCGCCGGTACGCGGCTCAACGGGCTGGGCGGTCTAACCGGAGGAGGTAGCGGCAGCGGCTGTACCCTCTCTCCCCCCCAGAGCTGCGGCGGCGGAGGGGGGATATCCCTGTCGCCACCTCTCAGCTGTGGAGTAGGGACCCTACTTTCTACCCCGGCCGCCGCCACCGCTTCTTCGCCCTCCTCATCGTCCGCCGCCTCGTCCTCATCGCCGGGCTCCCGGAAGATGGTGGTGTCAGCGGAGATGTGCTGCTTTTGCTTCGATGTGCTCTACTGTCACCTGTATGGATACCAGCAGCCCCGGACCCCCCGGTTCACCAACGAGCCCTAGTGAGTACCGTGCCCTCCGTCACCCTCTCTCTTGCGCTCGGGATGGGGCTCAGAGTTGAGGCAAAGTGCGAGTTCGCCTCCCTGCTGGCGGCTGCCCCTACCCCTCTCGCTGCCCGGGTCCCCTGAGCCACTGTCCTAAGTATGGGCACCCCGCGTTTTCTTCCCCACGAGGCAAGCACCCCACACTTAGAGCAGGTTGCTGCTACTAGAGATGGCCCCCTGGCTTCCAGAGGTGTATGTTTTCTCTTTGCGATAACTTCGAGGAGTTTTGACCCTTTTCTTCCCTCTCTGCCTCCCCTCACTTCCCACTCTGCCCCGTTTTGGGAGATCTGGATTACTCAAGGTGCTGACCTCTCCTTACTTTGGTTTCCTTAACCCCATGTGAAAGCCTCGCCAGTCTTCCCACGCCGCGTACCTTGCACATGGAGAGCTACTGTCCCAATGCAGGGTGAAAAATAGCAACCATCCAAACTTCCATTCTGCTAGTGATGGAACTTGGCTCCGAATCTTGAGAGGGTTACCCTTCTTTTCCTGTAGGTTCCCTTGTGCCCTGGGAGCAGGGAGGTTTTTTTTTTTATTTTTTTTATTTTTTTAACACATTTCCCCTTACTACCTATTTTTATCCGAACATAACCATTAAAATGTGTTTCTAGTGAAGTGAGCGCACCGCCGGCTTCCTCACATTTGAAGAGTGAGACCTTTTTTTTTTTTTTTTCCTCCCTTCGTTCCACTGTCTGGGTAATAGCTCATTCAAAGAGAGCTGTCCCCACAGAGCCACTGTCAGTTTGTACATTTAGCGTGCATTCGCTTTTGTGTCAATTTCACTTTTAAGAAATCTATGTCATACTTAACGATTCGAGAAATAAACAGTCCAATAGTGAATGTGTAGGCATTTTTATGGTTTCCTTTGGTTTTATATTTTACTTTACCCTTCAAGTGTGTGGTTGGAATTGTTTAAAATAGCACTCTTACGACGAAAACCCAGGTTAATTCTAATCCCTGTCCATTTGGATGTGTGGGAGATGGGGCATATGTTTTTTTTTTTTTTTTTAATGTGTAAACTGAGCGTAAACTGACTTTTTGAGTTAAATGCTAGACAGAATGTAAAGACCAAGAGAGAGCAGGATGGGGAAAAGGACGATTGTTTTAATTATGAGTACTTAGCATCCACAAGAAAAATAAATGAAAAATTCTTTTGGAACTCATATTGAAAAGCATTAACCCTTTTTCTAGTTAAGACAAGTGCCCCCCTTGTTTCCCATATCATAAATACCTAAATTGATGTTCTTTTTTAACTGCTTTTTTTTTCATTTTGTGAGATTAGAGGATGGAACAACTACTGATAAGTATAAACACTTCTGCCTAGACTAAAAATATTAATATGTAAAGTGGAAATTGCAATAAAATGTCCTGGAAATTGTGCATTTGTATTTGTTTTCTTTGGCTTGGATACTTTAAATGTCTTTAATTTCGTATGATTCCTCTGTGATCTGTGCACTTTCTTTTAGACTTGGTTCATCTTGGGGCATTATTCATGAGAAATGTATGAAAAGGCATCCAGGCGGATACTTTTTTCAAATAAATAAAATATCTTTATAAATTTCAGTGTTAATTCTAGGAACTTAAATGCTAACTCTACACCTTAGCCAATTTATTTTTTGGTTGAGAAGCAAAATTCATTTTGAAAAGACTGCCATGTAAAAGAATCTGTGAAATCTTTTTTAGCTTGAGTCACTTATTTGTGACTTTTCTGTCTTCTCTTGGATGTCTGTGATGTATCAAAACTAGTCCTGGGATGATAACTTAGATTGACTATGCGAAGTCATGGGGCTGTAAAAATTCACTCCTGTTTAGTTCTTGAGCTGTTACATGAGTTTGGCAAAGGCTGTTTTAGTATTCACGCTCCATTGCTTCAAAGCATATGAGAACACACTTTCAGAAGGTGCTATTTTCACACGTTTTAAAGTGAGTTTGGGTTAACTGAATGAGTATAACAAAAATTTTAAGAGGAAAGTGAGCTTGACCAGTTCATACGGAAAATGATCTTTGAAAATATCATTATTTGCTTTTTTAAATTTTAAATACCCCAGCTGGTGAATTTATTTTTCAAGGAATTAAGCAGATAAAGAAAACACACTTTTGACCATTGTGTATATGTTGAAATGGTGGTGGGAGAATAATAACTATTATCATTCAGTAGATCTTGAGTGTGTAGTGTATTTTATAGAACAGCTAATTTTGAGTGGACCCTGAATATGCTCAAACAGAGAAAGGTCACTTATGTGGAAAGAGGGCTGTGTCTTATTTTCATTTATCTTAAGCTTATTTTTGGTGTGAATTGTGTAAAATTCAGAAATATTTCTTGATTATGGGAGTTATATAACTAATCATTCGGCAATGTCTTAGAAGCCACCACACATTTTTCTGTTTCACATACCTAATAGTATGGTATGCTTATTAGTGTAGCATTGTGCTAGGTGCTATAAGGCATGAATAGACATATTAGGCTTATTTCTCAGAGTTATTAGTATCACATCATGAGTAGTGTGTTTCAGGTCCTCTCTCTGTCCACCAGAATATGTGTTTTTGGCAACTTCCAATTCTTATATGTAAAAGCACACTATTTTCATTCCTTCCCAGGACCTTTTTGTCAGAATATCTGTAATGGTGAAATCTGACTTTTATAGGTTTTGAAGTTATATAGATCCACTAGTTACCCTTCCATTCTGAAAGGTTAGTAGAAATTTCAAGCCATCTATGTTTTTCAAGGTTAAGACAAGTTAAGAAGGAGATGTAAGTATATAAACAGACTGTGTAAATACAAATTCTTCACTGTTGCTCCTTTTTGAATGCATACCCTATTACAGAGAACATATTGGACCACAGAAATCAGGCTGCAGAATGAGAACAACATAACTTTAGGTGCATTTTACTATTCAAAAACCAGAGCTTTTGAATTTATATGTGAATGAGCTCAGTTAGCATTTGGAGGGAAGTCCTGGGGATTGAACTGAGGGGTGCTTTACCACTGAGCTACATTCCCAGCCCATTTCATTTTTTTTTTTTTTAATTTTAAGACAGGGTCTCACTGAATTGGCTGGCCTTGAACTTGTGATCCTCATGCCCCAGCCTCCCCAATCGCTGGGATTACAAGCTTGTGCCACCACGCCTGACTGGATAGCCATTTCATAGGAACCTATTACTAAAAAGAAATCCACTGTGCCAGGTGTTGAGCCAGTTAGATTCCATAGCAGTCATTCTCAACCTTGGCTGCACATTGGAATCACTGGGAAGTTAATATAAATATGGATGCCTGGGTTCCAGCCCTAGAGATTCTGATTTAATTATCTTGTGGAGGGGCCTGGGAATCAGGATTACTAAGAGCTCCCCAAGTGATTTCATTGTGTAGCAAGGGCCGAGAACCTCTGGTTATCTTCTACATCATTCTCTTGAGATTCAGATTAATTTGGCCTAGGGTAGTATCCTGGAAAGCTGTGTTTTATAAGCATCCTGGGTAATTTTGCTGAACAACTGATTTGTGTAACACTTGTAACTGGTCTGCGAAGATGTCACCTGGGAGCTTGTTAGAAAGGTAGGCTTTCAGGCCTCACCTCTGACCTGATGTATTAGAATCTGCATTTTAACAGGCTCCCCAGGTGATTCTTATGCTCATTAAAGTTTTAGGAGGACTGGCTCTCAAACTTTAGCATACATAGTAATCTCCTGTAGTGCCTGTTAAAACAAATTTCTGGGCCCTATTCCCAGAGTTTCAGATTCTGTTGGTGTGGGGTGGGACTATGAATTTGCATTTCTAACAACCTCTATGCTGATGCTACTGTTCCCAGGGCCACAGGTCAAGACCACTAGGCTAGAGAGAAGTGAGGGTCTGAATAAGTGTTTGAGTAACTGGGAATGGAAGTTTGGGCTGCCAGTTTCCAATATAAAAACTTCCATTTTCTATATTTTTATCCTTTGCCATGTTCATTCTCATCTATCATCTGGGAAGTTGAGTGCTGCAAAGAGCATAAGAGTCTGAGGTTCTGGGGATGGTTTCCATTGGGGGATGGAGGGTAGGATGACTCTTGGGAACACTTGGTATGATTTTAGTTCCTTTTTCAGAAATTGTTATATGTGAGGAGTACGTTTCAGTAGTTAAGAGCAACATAAATAGGATATCTTCAAATGAGTTGTGTTGATTTTGATAAGTAAAGCCCCCTCCTGTTCCCACAAACTAAATAACTCGATAAAACGTTAAAAGTGTTTTATGTTTGCTAGGTTTCATTTTAAGAATTTTCCCTATTAGCAAAGAAATATAAAAGAATCTTGCTTAAGATTCAGTCTCCCCCCCCCGTCTTAATAGTATATTTTTAAAATACTTCTGAGTGTGTCCTTTAGTAAGCCTCTTTTGCTCCATAGAAAGAAGATGGGCATAAATGAATTAATTTAGCATTTATGCATAAAAAACATAAAAATATTATCTACTGAAATTGCACCATTAGAGAAAACCACTCTGGAGATTTGACAGTGTTCCTATTGCTCGATGAGCGCAAGAACCATCTTCAGGAGGGCGACACCACATGCCTTCAGTCTTATATTTTTGATGCTGTGTTGTGTGTCACATATCCCATGAACTTTTCATTTTAATCCTCTTACCACCTTTGAAATTAATGCAATGCATCATTTCATATAGACCATATAGCACATAGAAGGTGCTTTACTGTTAAATTCCAGGAAGTGTGGTTTACTATTGCAATGAATAAAGTATTTTTTAAAAATATACTTAGGGACATGGAGATTTTGAGAGATTCAGATCAGATGTTTTAACAGTTAACTCTTTCTTGTCTTGCCACATTAGTCAAATTACTGTTTTCAGTGTGCTTGGGAGGAGTTGGGTTGTTAGGGGAATAGGCACTTTGTTTCACCAGAACAGTAGCCATCCTATTGCACTATCAAAAGATGATTTGATAATGCAGCTCAGGTTAAAGTAATATTAAATCAGC